AACAGTAGCAGTGACTCACACTTTCTGAGCACAATATGTGCCAGGCAATGTTCTGCACACTTACAGGAATTAACTCATCCTCTTTTCCCTAAGATTCTATTCATTCATTCATTCAACAGATGTTTACCGAGTACCTAGTATGTGCCAGACATGTTCCAGATGCTGAGAATCCAGCAGTGACAAGACAGATAAAAAACCCTGCCCACAAAACATTTACATACGGAAGAGGAAGAGAGCTACTGTATACATGAATAAAATATATGGTATGTCAGATTGTGAGAAGTGCTACAGAGGAAATTAGAGGGTATGGGGGATCAAGAACACAGAGCAGGTGGGCACACTTTTTGAGAGGGTGTTCTGGGAGAGCCTCACTGAGGAGGTGACATTTGAATACAGACCAAATCTGGCTCGCCACCTTTCTTAGCTGAGAATAGTTTTTACAGAAGAGAATTTGCAATCAATTCCAAGGTAAGGAACACTAACTTTGATGTTATCCCCATAAAAGAATTCCATTCTTCTTAGTAGACCTGTATTACTGAAAACCAAAACCAAGAGCAAAAAACAGGACTCAGGTCTTCTCATTATAGTTTGAGTTTCATCAATAAACATTTTGTGGAAATTCATTTTCTCTTACATATAAACACTCTCATAATATTCTCAGTTTTGTCTCTTGGCCCACAAAGCCTAAGAAAATGTTTGCTGGTCCTGGTCTCTACCCAGGAGGTGAGGAAATGAGCTGTGTGGTTATCTGGGGGCAGAGGGAACAGCCAGTGCAAAGGCCTGGAGGCAGGAGTTAGTGAGGCACATCAAGGAGGCCAGTAGGTTTGGAGCCCTGTGAGTGAGGAGGAGAGTGATAAGAAAGAGTAAGAGGGTAGGAGGAACTTGGGCAGATTGTGCAAGACCTTGTACCAATTCCTAGGTATTTTTAAAAATGTGTGTGGCTGTCTCTAATGGAATATCTTTTAAAATTATATTTTCTAATTTATTATTGCTGTGGGATAGAAAGTTATTGATTTTGTACATTGATCTTTTCTCCTGGCCCTCTTAGTTTTATTCTCTTATAGTTTTATTAGTTTTTTGGTTGGTTTGGATTCATTTTAGAAGGCAGTTTTTATCATCCACAAATGATGCATTTTAATCTTGCCTATATATAGTTCGGTTCTTCCTTTCTTTCCCTCCATCCACTCTTTCTCCCTCTTCTTCTTCCTCTCCCCTTCCCTCCTCCTCTCTCCTCCCTTCCAGTTCCCTTTTTCCTTCCTCCTTCCCTCCCCTCCCCTTGCTTCTTCTCAGCCCCTCCCCCATAAAAATGAGGGTGTAAGTTTTCAAAAGTGTCTCCGTCATGTACCTTTGCTGGCCTTCCTGGGGTAGGGGATAGAGGCTTGGTTCACTGCCTGAGACTGGATGTGGATGTGGGGACTGGGAGGATCATACACAGACTCCAGAAGGGGAAGTCAAATGAATGTCTGTGCCGATCAGAAGATGCTCTGTGCCAAGGAACAGAATGTGGCTGTCAAGTGGTTCTGAGTGTGAGGAAGACTCGGGGATAGCTGTCCCTCAAGAGTGCAGAGGTCAGGTAGCTTCAGTGGGTATACCCAGTGCCTCTGTTTCTCTCCTTCTCTGTGCTCTGCCAGCCTCAGGATCAGTAACATCAGAGATTGGCTCCTGTGGGCTGGCAGTGGGGTCTGCACCAGCCCAGTGAACCCACCTGTTTCTACTTACTCTTGGGGTGGGAGTTGCTATTAGAAGCTTCTTGAGAAGAATGAGGAGGCATCTTCTCCCGAGGTCCTGGTAAACCTTTCCTGGATCTCACCAGCTGGCACTGGGTGGCCTGCTATTCCTGACCCAACAGTATGACCTTGGATGGCATAATGGTGAATATCTCTACATTTGGGCAGTGGGGTGGTTTCACGTGTCACACTTCTCAGAGACCTGTGGGCATCCAATGGAGACGGGTAGTTATGAGAAGACAGATCTTTGCTGGGGCACCAGCCACCTTAAGACGTCTTGTTTTGTTTTGTTTTATTTTATTTTATATTATGTTAATTAGAATAAAGTAAATGTTAATAATAATGTTAAATTAATTACTCTATTAATGTAATATTTCTCTATTATATTAATAAGTAATTTATGAACCTCTACATGCAGATACACAGTTATGAATATGGCATGAGCTTTCTGCTGCTACCCAAGTGGGATCATACATTGTTCTTCATTTTGCATTTTTCACTTCATTGTATGCCTTCTGGAAGTCTGAAATGAGACATGGCTAAAATCAAGATGTCAGGAGGGCCCATTCCTTCTGGAGGCCTAGAGAAGAATCTGTTTCTTTGCTTTGTCCAGCTTCCACGGGGCACCTGCACTCCTTGACTTGTGGCCCCACTTACTTCATCCTCAAAGCCAGCAATGTGGCATCTCTGATACTTCTTCCATAGTCACATCTTCCTCTGACTACAATGAAGAAAAGTTCTCTGCTTTTAAGGATTCACGTGATTAGATTGGTCTCGTTCAGATAATCCAGGATAATATCCTCACTCAAAGTTTTTAATTACATCTGCAAAATTCCTTTCACCATGTAAGGTAACATACTCACAGGTTTGGGGGATATGAACATGAGTGTGCAAATGTCCATTTCTGTCCCTGCTTTCAATTCTTCTGGGTATATACCTCCAAGTAGAATTTCTGAATCATATGGTTATTCTATGTTTAACTTCCTTTTAAAAATTTTACGTTATTGAACTGTAGTTGATTTACAATGTTAGCTTCAGGTGTACAGCAAAATGATTCGGTTATACGTACACACACACACATATATATTTTTCAGTCTCTTTTCCATTATAGCTTATTATGTGTTTAACTTCTTGAGGAATTGCCATATTGCTTTCCACAGTAGCTGCACCACTTTAAATTCCCACTAGCAATGCACAGGGTTTCAATTTCTTCATATACTTACTAACACTTGTTATTTTCTGTATTGTTGATTTTGGTTTGTTTATTTGTTTTATTTATTTTATATTTATAATGGGTGTGAAGTGGTCTTTTATTGTAGTTTTGATTTATATTTCTCTAATGATTAGTGACAGGTATCTTTTCATATGCTTGCTGACTATTTGTGTATCTTCTTTGGAGAAATGTCTATTCAATTTCTTTGTCCATTTTTAAGTTGAGTTGTTTGGTTTTTTTTGTTGTTGTTGTTGAGTTATATGGGTTCTTTATATACTCTGAATATTAATTCTGTATCAGATAATATGATTTGCAAACATTCTCCCATTTTGCGCATTATCTTTCACAAAGATAGTATTCCTTGCAGCACAAAAGTTGTTAATTTTGATAAAGTCCAGTTTGTCTATTTTTTTGTGTGTTGCTGTCTGTGCTTTTGGAGTCATATCCAAGAAATCACCACCAAATCCAATGTCATGAAGATATTCTCCTGTTTTCTTTTAAGAGTTTTATATTCTACCGCTGAGCTATACCTTCCCTGTCTACCTAAGTCTTCTTTAATTTCCTTAAGCAATATTTTGTAGTTTTCAGTATACAGATCTTTCACCTCACTAGTTAAATTCCTTCCTAAGTATTTTATTCTTTTTGATGCTATTGTAAATTAGATCGTTTTCTTAATTTCCTTTTTGATTGTTCACTCTTAGTCTATAGAAATGCAACAGATATTTGCATGTTTATTTTGTATCCTGCAACTTTTCTGAATTCATTTATTATCTCTAAGAGCTTATTTTTTTTTAATCTTTAGGGTTTTCTGTAAATAAGATTATGTTATCTGTGAACAGAGATATTTTACTTTTTTCTTTCCAACTTAAAGTGCCTTTTCTTCTTTTTCTTGCACTAATTACACTGACTAATTTTTTCTAATTACACTGACTAGAACTTTCAATACTGTGTTGAATGGAAGTGTTGAAAGTGGGCATCCTTGTCTTGTTCCTGATCTTAGGGAAAAGCTTTTAGTTTTCTGCCATTAAGTATGATGTTCACTATGGTTTTTTCACAGATGGCCTTTATCATATTGAGGAAGTTTCTTCCTATTCCTAATTTGCTTATATTTTTATTTTATCATGAAAGGGTGTTAAATTTTTTCAAACTTTTTTGCCCCTTTTTGCTTCAATTGAGAGGACAAACGTGTATGCATATATAGATATACATATATTTTTTTTCTTCTTTGAACGTATTTAAAATAGCTATTTTGAAGTCTTTGTATACTATGTCCAACACATAGGGCCCCTTAAACACAATTTCTGTTGTCTGCTTCTTTTCCTTTGTATTGATCAAAGTTTCCTGTATCTTTTGTCAGTGAAAAATTAATAGTAAGTGGAAGAAAGAAATGGAAAATGTTATTTGAGCCAACCTGAGGATTATAACCTGGGTGACAATCTTTCAGAAAGTTCTGAGGACTGTTCTATCTGTTACAGTTCAAAGCACAGGTATACAAGTTTTTGAGACAGAGGGTTATACATCAAAGTCACATACGTACAGTCTACATAATCCAAGAAGGTGAGTAGTGGGTTTTTGTGACCCCTTAAAGGATTGAGAAAGGAGTATTATCTCCTAAGGTGTTACCTTCTGGCGCCAGGTAGAAATTACTTTTCTTTTGGCCAGTAGGGATTTCTGTGTCTTCTAAGGGTAGTTAATACATAATGCAGATGTATAATGCATACCAAAGCGGAGGGGGTAGTGGCTCAAACAGGCAAGAGAGAGAATTCAATATTTAACATTTTTCTTATCTTGCCTTGAAAATAATTTGATTTCATCACTTTGCATGCCTTGTAATTTTTTCTTTGGAAAACAGACATCATAGATAATATAGCAAATCTGGACACTGATTCCTGCCCACCCTGGCCTTGATGTTTGTTTGGTCATTTGTCTATTTGTTTAGTACTTGGGTGAGATAATTTTGTGAAGTCTATTTCCCCCTCAATTTGCTACCTCTGATATCCCTGCTCAGATTTTTTCCCTTATTTTTATATTTTAGCTTGGCTTCTACAGTTAACTCCCGGATGAGCGTAAGCCACTCACTGGCTGATGATTGTGGGTAAGCCCCTTTGGTCATTTGCACTGTTTACCACTGGAAATGTGTGCGTGTCTTGGAGACTGCTTTCACAGTTTAGGGAGTTTACTTTTCCCACCACGTGTTCAGCCAGGGACTAGAAACTTGGAAATTCCCTATCCAATTCACTCCTGAGAAAACACAGCCTTGGGTATGTTCATAGCCTTTCAGCTTACTAGAGTTGAGTGTGATTTTATTTTTAAGCTGGGTTTATTAGGAGTTGCCCCTGGGTCAGAGAAACTCATTGTTCAGCCAGTATTTGGCCAGAGGTTGTTCTTAAATCCACTGAACATTGAACAAAGGTTTCTGCCCTTTGCTGTTAGATCTGTGTTTGGTTTGGGAAATGCATTTAAATTTGCTCTACTTCCTTCTCTTATTGTTGGTAGCCTAGTGCATGCACAGTGTTTTAGCCCGCTGGGGATGAGTGTGATCCCAGGAGAACTGTTCTTGGCTGCTTCTTTCACTGGTTTTCTCTGTTAAACTTCTGGTTAGCCTGCTGTTTCCTCTTTTTGCTGCTAGTATCATAGAGCTACTGAATCTCTCTTAATTGCTCACCAGGAAGATCTCTATTGTTCTTAACAACTCCATTAGGTATGAATTTTTCCACCCTCTGTTCCTAATAAATTCAGTTATTTCCAGCAGAGTTGCAGAGCACTCCTCCTTTCAGCCTGTTTTTCCTCCTGGGCAGAATGTTTGTGCTGTTGCACCAAAGCTAGGGATGGGGATGGCAGCCTGCTTCTCTTGTTCTAGGAGTGGGCAATGAGGAGAGAGATGGTATCTCACTTGCCCCTCCCATGGAACCTCTGCTCTGAGTGAGCTGGGATGGGGCAATTGAAGACCCAGGACTCTTAGCCTGCTGTGCCTGGGGTAGAGCTTCTGCCCTACCAGTAGGTGCTAAGTGAGGAAAGTTAGCTGTAGTCCTCTTGGTCATGCCTGCTGGAATGGAGCTTCTGTGGATGGACTTGGGAGAATGAGAGGCACCAGCTATCTGCTTCTCTTGTGGTGAAACCACAGCTGGGACAGAGAGTCCCTATCATCCTGGCCACTTGCCCAGAATAGAGTTCCATAATATGAAGCTAAGGACAAGGGATAGGAGCCGGTCATGGCTCAAATGCCACAGGCTCTTGCCCAGAACTCTTGGTTCTTAGTAAGATTTTGTACATTTCCTTGTATAAATATTTCTCAATTTTCTGTATGCCCTTAGGACAATTTCCAGAGAACTTAAATAGTTATTTTTTAAAACAAATTTTCACCAGCTAAATAGCTTTTTCTCCAGAGAGCAAATCAACCCAGTTCCTCACCCTGCCATTCTGGAAGTTCAAAATCAAAGTTTAAAAATCTCTCCAAACATTTGGCAATTTTCAAGATTTTTGCCTATTATTGGTTTCTAATTTAATACCGTTATAATCTGAAGACATATTTTGTACAATTTTAATTCTTTTAAATTCATTACCATTTGTTTAATAACCCCTAACATACTCTATCTTGGTGTACACTCAAAAAAAGTATATTGTTGTTGCTAGGGTAGAGTATTCTATAAATGTTAATTAGGTCTGATTCAGTGATAGTGTTTTATAGATCTTATATATATTTACTAGTTTTCTGCACAAGTATGTTCTAACAGTTATGAAAGATGTTAAAGTTCCAAATTCTAATTGTGCCCAGAATGTCTTTTTTTCCTTGCTCTGTACATTTTGAAGATCTGTCATCAAGCTCCGTTTAGGATCCTAACATATTTAGGATCTTGTTTATCACTATGCAGTTAATGTCTTTATTTATCCATGAAAAGAGTGATACCCTGAAAATCTAAATAGGGGTACATTTGGATAGATTTAAGGCACACTGATCCCCAGCCACACTGAACTTCTCTTGCCAGTAGAAACAGTGCCTACTCCCATCTGATAAGGCTGGTCCTCTCTTACCTTAGAGACACGGTAATGACTTCATGTGACTAAATTATGTTATAAGGACATACCAGTTCTCTGCCTGTACCACCTCAGTCTTCATTGCCTCTAGACCTAATAAACAGAGTAAGATCCTAGCATGCTCTAGGACAGGTGCACAGTACAACCCAGGGGTAGAAAGCTTCCTTTTAGAAAGAACTGCAAGATTTTGCTAATCTACAGGGGAAGGAATGAGAGGGTATACGTATAGGATTGGACTCTAAGGATTCCTGATTGGGAAAGCTTGGACCCAAGTTTATCAAGAATACACTTACCAGAAATTCAGAATTCAGTGTGCTGGTTCAGGCAGGTGGGAATGATTCTACATGTTTATCGGGTTGTTTTAAACCTGAAGTCAATGGTAGACCACACAAAAGGAAGTGATATGTCAGACATTCCTTGGCTTAATGTAGAGAAAGGAATGCAAAGAGAGAGTGGAGAATATTGGGATGGATTCATGATTCCTGACCTGCTCCTTCACTTCTCTGGCCTCCAAGAGGGCCTTAGAGAATAACCTCTTCATCAAGACATTGAAAAATAAATTGTGAAGGGAGCACCTACATCCTTGAAAAACACTGCAACTGGCTGTCATCTTTTGGCCGGGGAAGAGTGGGAAGTAGTGCAATTCAAAAGTTGTTGTTTTATCCCCCAGACTTCAACTGGGATGATGAAGTCCAGAGAGGCAGAGACCTGGTAGAAGCACTTAGACAACAAAGACAAAAGGATGAGCTACCCCAATAGACAGCGGGGACATGAAACTATTAAGAATGGATTGATCTGCTGGTATCTGTGGTGGTGGCTCATTTTTTAAAGGCATCCTTGTGACTGAAATCGCATAGCAGCCGGCTCCTTTATCCAACCCACTTCATCCATAGTCCCCCGACCCCCAAATCTCGGTCTGGTGAATGAGGCCCTGACTTGAGGGGTCGTTATGGAGAATTAAGGCTCCTCAACAAATAACCTGACCATCCTCCCTGGCTCCAGGCCATGTACCACACTAGGAAGAGCAGGGACATCAGGAAACACCCGTTTTTTGCAGCCGACGTTAAATTGGGAGGTCCTTAGCAAGGCCAGTCTCCTCGGACAGACCCCAACCCCTCGGTCCTGGGCAAGGTTTTGGCCAGACACAGTTGGGGTGGGGATCTGAGTGAGAGTGAGAGCGCAACCCTGCCCTCTCAGGCTGGAGACCTTGCGGCGTCAGGATGCGCCGCTTCTGCCGCAGGCGCCGGGGGTCCACGTACTGCAGCTCGGCTCGAGCCGCGAGGGGGCGCCGCAGAGCGCTGAGGCCGTCCCGGAGCCCGTGGCGTCCCAGGGCGGTCTCCTCAGCCTCCGGGTCTGGCTCCTGCTCCTTCAGCCCCGGCTCAGCGATGCCCAGGCGGGCAGGTCGGGGATGCCCTCGCTCCCTTCACCCACCTCGGGAGGCGGCCACAAGGAACACAGTATGGGCCCGCCAAGCCCTGGAGGGGGTCCAGGATCCCCTGGGGGCCCCGGATCCCCTGGGGCTCCGGTATTCCCCCATTTGGTGGAGTTCAGCCGAGGTGACTCTTCGTCTTAGGAGGGGAGGGCTGAGGCGCCGGGTGGGAGCTGGTGTTCCCTGGGAGTTTGGGAGGGTCTAGGGTCTGAATGAGCGCAGCTCTGCTGTGGAGCCTGAGGGGGATGCGCTTGTCCGGAGGTCCATGGCCTGGGGACTCGGAAGCGCTGCTCTGGAGCCTATGAGAATGTGGCCTTCTTGGCTGTCTGAGGGGCACCTGGTGCTTTCCTGGGAAGCCCAGGGCTCCAAGGGAGCAGAGCTTGTTTCTTTGAGGCCAAGTGTTCCTGAAAATCATGGGAGGACAGGAGAGCCAGGAAGGAAAGTGGCCCTTCTTCCAGGGGGATTCGAGGTGCTTAGTGGGTTACTGTCCACCTGTGCTGATCTACCCACTGCTGAGTTTCTTTGCGTGTAGGTGGAGAGTTTGTCTCAGAATTTCTCCAGGAGATTGACCAATACATCGTCAGTATACTATGAAAAATGTAATGAGATGGTCCAGAGGGTCATGCCAACAAATAGGAATGTCGTACTGGAAGGAATGATCTGTGGCTATAATGATGTAGGAAAGGATTCTTGTCAGATAAGTTGATGGGTCCCTTGCCACCTTTTGCACTGATGTCATTCCCTCAAAGTTTCCTCATTCCCCAGTGGCAGGGCCTGGCTTATTTGCCACCTCTTCCTTTCAGCCTTTAGTTAAAGAGATTCAGGGGAGAACCTCTCATGGCTCCCCCGAGCTGGTCTGGCCTCTTCCTTTAAAGGGAGCAGCCCTCACTGCCTGGGGGTGATGCCGGCATGTGGGGAGATTGGGAGCGGTAATGATAATAATAGAAGTTCTGTCACTGAGTTCCTTCTTTGCGGCACTTACTGTGCCAGTGTGAGAATTCACCCACATTAGCTCAGTTAATCATGTCACAACCCTGCAACATACACATCATACATGTTATCATACCAATGTGGTCCCTCCAGAGACGGTAATTCCAGGTCCTCCTGTGAGTGGATTTAGGACAACTGGGCCTACAGTCTCCCCTCTGCACCAAGCTGCCTTTCTGAGCAGGGAGTGTTTAAGCTCAGTCTTAGAGGATTTGGATTCTGGAGAGAGAGAGAACAACACAGTTGGGAGGGGGAACAGCAAGTACAGTGGCTCAGAGGTTGGAGGGAACTTGTCATGTTTAGGGACATGTTAAGGGTCTGGAGCAATGAGGGGGCAGATATGCCAGAGAAGGGGATTGGAGTCAGAATATGCGTGGCCTGGAATGCTGTGCTGTGTTTCCAGGTGCTGTCCATGCAGGACTGGAGGCCAGAAGTTTGTTTTCAACATGTAGGCAATGGTGTTGATCCCAGGCAGGACCTGGGGCAGAGGGGCTGGTGAAGGGGTTGTGTTTGAGGCGGAGTCATCAGGTGTTGGTGACTGACTGCAGGTGAGGAAGGGGTGAGGGAGAGCTGAGTACTCTGAGTTTCTGACAGAGCTGGTTAGGGGCCAGCAGAGCAGTTTGGAAAAGGATGTGCAGTGTGTGTGCGATGTCTGAGAGTGGAGCTTAGAAGACAGAGGGAGCAAGCTAGATGGTCAGGAGCTCTAGAGCAGCCTGAGGCTAGGTGTAGGGATTTAGGGGCCTGCCGTGCAGAGGTCATATTCCAAGTGTTTAACAACCACTGTGGTTTGGGAAATAACCAGTCATAATATCCTCAGAGGATGCTAAAGTGTTCCGATTGACTACTTAATTCTCAGTTCTCATAGTCACAGAAACCTGGGCTGGGAGATGCCTGTGGAAGGCCCACTGGTGCCTGTCTCTCAGCACCTTGCAGTGCAGTCATCCTGCTCTGATATGGGTGCTTTTCCATTCCTGCGGTTTGTTTCTTTCTCTTTTTCCAGGGAGATTCTGGGGGCCCTCTGGTCTGGGTCCAGGTGGGGATTGTGAGCTGGGATGTCAGCTGTGGTCGTAGACTATCGCCTGGCATTTATGCAGATACTGGCTTCTTTGCTAACTGGCTAGTCGCAGTGGTGAACCAGGCTACTTCTTTGTATCCAGTGGTGCTCCTCATCCTACCATTGTGTCTGGTGCTGCCTCTGGGCATCCTGGTGACCCCATGATCACCCTGACCCAGGGCCCTCCTATTTCTGAGTCTCACACTAGCCCTGCCTCTGACCTCCACACTACTCAATGCCCTTCCTTGATTCTGTTTGGGATCCACTGACCCTGTGGAGATACACACGACAGAGACTGGCAGCAAGTCTGGAGCCCCGACATTGTCCCAGCCTGGAGCTCCCAGAACCTGCCTCGTCCACGCCTGCAGCTTGGCTGTACTCTGCCTGCCAGGGAGGAGGCAGTGAAACCATCCCAGCAAGGCGGCCAGGCGACCTGCCAGGTGGAGTTTGATGGCTCCTCAACATCTAGGGGAACATCTAGCAAAGAAGAGACAGCATCAATGGTGAGACAGCTGACACTTTCTCAAACCAGTTATCTTGGGGATTGTTCAGAGGGATTGAGGAGGCATCACCACATCCACATCTGACTCAGTTCTCTGGAGCTGGAAGATGGTCCCCTATTCTCCAGTGCGGATCCATCTCTGAGTGGCTGGCCTCTGCCACACAAGCCCTCTGGGGTCAACTCAGTCTTGGAAACCCCTCCCCAGGGCTCCAGTGGCCACACCCAGGCTCACTCCAAGTTGTGTTGAGGCATTAAGGAGTGTGGAGACTTCAGACGTCAAATGAATAAATGTTTGGAGAGTTGCTTGTCTGTTCTGCATCTCCACTGGTCCGGCGCGTGGGGACTCTGAAGAGAACTTATCTCACATTGAGTTTAGGAAGGTGTTCGTGGTGCTTTTTAAACCGTGGAGTGAACGGGAGGCCCTTGCCTACCCTGATGTGGGTTGGCAGATGGCTCTAGCAGTAGGGTCCTGCTGCTGTGTTCCTCATAGCCATTAGCTTCTCTGAAGGGAGCTTTGTGGATAAGTTTGCTAGCCAGTGTATCTGGGAAGGAGCAATTGAGAGAGAATAGAAGGGAGAGAGCAGTCAGATCATTGTGTCCAAACTTCAACCCCTTTTTCTATGTGTTTCTGCCACTACCCCTCTAGGTATGTGGAGCCTTGAGCACCACATTGCCTTGGCCAGGCTATGGAGAACGGCACCGAAACTCAGGGAGGGGACAGGTTGGGGGGTTTACTGCTGGCTCATTTCCCTCATCATCATGTGGTCCCAGATTAGCTCGTTGTCATGATGCAGAGCACTCCACTCTTCCTTGATTTCTTTCATACAAGTTTGAAGTTGCCTTCTTTTAGGAGGGGATTAGTGCATTTTGCATATGGGAAGAAGGTGCATGTGAATATTTAGGTAAATAAAGAAGTAGGCTGGGGTAAAGATCTTCTGTCACCTTTCATTCCCTTCCTTCTGGGCATATAGCGGATCAGAATAAAGAATGCATTTCCAACCCTCCCACATACCTAAATATGGCAATAAGTTCTGGCCAATAAAATATAAACAGAAATGTTGGGTATGGATTTTGGAGAATATTCTTAAAAGGAGACCCTTTGTTTCTTCTTTCCTAACTGGGATGTATGCACGGTGACTGGAGCTTGAGCAGCCAACTTGGGACATGAGGAACAAGTTATGCATATGGAACAGAAATTCAGAAGGAACTTGACTCCCCAGAATTTATAGGGCTGCCATCACAGCTCTTTATGTAAAAGAGAAATAAACTTCTTTTTAAGCTAATCATCACCTTCAGTCTCAGTTATCCAAAGAAGAACCTCATCCTAACTAATTCAGTTGGTAGCATCTGGAGCTGTATTTCTGGATTGTTAGGAATTTAAGTTTTTATTTAGACTAAATTCTTCTTTATTCCTACTTTGCTATATTCCATTGCTTCCTTCTTTATTCATATTTTAAAAATTGATAAGATTAAGTTTATGTTTATGAATGTATTATCTCAATGCATTTTCATATTATTTTCTTTATTGAGGAATAATTTATATACAGTGAAGCACACACATTGCTGTGTACAATTTTGTATTTTAACAAATGTATACCCATGTTAACATCACCCAAATTATGATAGAGAACATTTCCATCAATCCACGATGTTCTCTTTTATTCCTTTCCATCATCCCTTCCCAGACGTAACCTTTGTTCTGTTCACTATCAGATTAGATTTGCAGGTTATTGTATGTCACATTAATGGACTCATACAGTAGGAGATTTTTTTGTGTCTGGCTTCTTACTTTCCTCATACTGTTTTTGTCTTTTTTTCTTCTTCTGATTTTATTGAGATATAATTGACATACAGTACTGTCTAAGGTTTATAGCAAATGATTTGACTTACATATATCATGAAATGATTATTGCAATGCGTTTAGCAAACATCTATCATCTCATAGATACAAAATTAAAGAAATATAAAAATACTTTTCCTTGTGAGAACTCTTGCAATTTGCTATCTTTTTAACAGCTTTAATATACAAAAGTGTTAATAATATTTATCATGTTGTATATTACATCCCTAGTACTTATTTATCTTATAACTGGAATTTTGTACCTTTTGATTCCTCTATTCAATTCTACATATTGTTTTTGAGATTCATCCATGTTGTCATGTGTATCATCAGTTCATTACTTTTTATTGCTGAATAGTTACCCATTGCATGAACTTTCCACAGTTTGATTATTCTTCTGTGGATGGACGTTTGGGTTGTTTCCAGTTTGGGGCCATTATATATATTATATATATATATATATATATATATATATATATATATATATATATATATATATATATAAAGGATATATATAATATATAAATATATATATATAATGAATAACTAATAAACATTAGTTATTAAAAATATTAGTAATT